TTTTTTTCCAACTCTAGAGAACATTTTGAATTTTGATTCTTTCATTCAATGTATTATCTACAACTCTCTGCTTCATGCCACTGAAAACTAACGGAATGACATGCCTCTGGGTCCCTGTCACAGGGCCTGACCTCGCTGTGGAGTAGGACCAGTCCATCTGCAAGAGATTATAAAACGTGTATATTGTGATTTACCTGATGATTTAGAGCAGTGGTTCTCAAAGCGTGGCCCCCAGATCAGTGGCACCAGTATCACTTCCAACATGTTAAAAAATGCAAATTCTTCAGCCTCATCCCCAGATTTACTTAATCAGAAACTTGGGCAGGAGGGCAGCAATCTCTGTTTTTACAAACCCTAAGGTGACTCTGACACCTGCTCAAGAGTTTGGGAGTCACTGAGCTGGAGTAATAGGAAGACAGGGAAAAAAGAAATCGAAAATGTACAGATATATGTCAATCTTACAGTCTATTTATGGAGCCGGTTTATGAACAACCCAGGCAGCCATTCTAGTAACATGGGCCAATGTGTCTGTCACAAGAGGAAATTCCCTCTGGGCTCTATCTGGCTAAATGACAAACCGGAGGGAAGGACTTAGGCTTGGTAGGTGCAGAATGTTCCAGAGAGTCTGAAATCTGATGGACAGAAGAGTCAAGTAAAGCACAAAACCCAGCGCAGCCATTCTAGTAACATGGGCCAATGTGTCTGTCACAAGAGGAAATTCCCTCTGGGCTCTGTCTGGCTAAATGACAAACCGGAGGGAAGGACTTGGGCTTGGTAGGTGCAGAATGTTCCAGAGAGTCTGAAATCTGATGGACAGAAGAGTCAAGTAAAGCACAAAACCCAGACCCAGGCAAGGGAAAGAAAGGATGTGTCTGGATGACCCCAAGTGGCTGCGTAATGCTGCATTTCCCAGGAGAGATTTAAAGCAATTGAACAGCCAGCAAAGCGAGGTCTCATACCTGTTTTTGTTTCTGCAGGCCCATCTGCTAAACATCCCAAGCTGGAATTGGAAAGAGGGGGATGATGCAATCTGCCTCGCAGAGCTGAAGTTGGGCTTCATAGCCCAGAGCTGCCTGGCGCAAGGCCTGTCCACCATGCTTGCCAACCTCTTCTCCATGAGGTCATTCATAAAGGTAATGTCTCATCTTATTAGAGCGCCTTAGCCCAGGATTCCATTTGTCGTGGGGTTGAGTAGAGAGCACAGCTTAAACTCAAAACAGATCGACGGGCTTTAACAACTTTGGTTAAGGAGAAATTCCTTGTTACGGATTTGGGCACAAGGCCAGCTTCTTTCAAAATTATGTTTTTATTTTTATTTGGCACATCCATGGCCATTAAATGATTGTTCAAAGCACAATCCTCTCTTTTTTAGATAAACCACATGTTTATCTATCAACAAAGCCTCCGCCGTTAAAACAAAAATATGATTTATATACATTCCATATGGCACCAGAGCGCCTAAAGAAAAGAATTATCATTTTGCTCTTTTATATCAAGTGGCTGGTGGACCTCTCACTGTGTGCATAAATGCAGACCATGTGTTTGTGCTGAAGCCCAAACCCCAACAACATAATTCATTTATTTATTTCTGCACAATCAAGGAGGCCAGCAGGGCTGACATGCCATGGTTATTTGAATGGAGAGTGAAATGAGGAACTGAGTCCTCAGCAACAGGGCCCTTGACACCGTGAGACAGGCAATCTGGATATGTTCATCTCCTTGTCGGCCAGCACCCCACAGAGCTGACTAGGCAGCCACCCCAGAGTCCCCAAAGTAGCCATGGCCTGCTGGACCAACTCAGGCGAGGAGAGAAGGGACCAGCTTTGTCCTCACAGGCCAGGTCAGTTCAGGAGTGTGTTTCCAGGGTATTGAATAAGAGGGTGCAAGCCCCTACCAAGAGAGTTTCTAGAGTGTGGGATAACAGTAATTCCAGTCCTTCGTCTGGGATTTTTCTTAGCCTGGGCAGTCAAGGTGGCAAACCTCTCTAGTTTGGGCTTTTCTGATTTGGGATTGCTGGCAATTAGCTCTGGATCTGGACCTACATTCTTCTTCCCGTTATATAACCAACAGAATTAGTAGTGGTCAAGGTGGGAAATTAGTGGGTCACCAGGAGGTTTTGCAAAGGGGGCCAGAAGCTCTGAAAGCAACGGTGTGAAGCCTCCAGCCTTTTGCTGCCGTGGCTGCTGTATCCACTGCCAAGTTCTTCAGTGGAGTCGAGGAAATGGCCTTGGTGACAGGCGGAGGGATGGGTGGGAAGCCTGAGGATGCAGGTGTGTTAGTGCTCACCAGGGGCATCTATGAGATGTGTTACCTAGAGCAGAAGTGTTTTAGGTCCTTATCCTTGTACCTGCCTAATTGACATTATTTAGCTCATAGTTAATATTGCTCTACTCAAAAGAACACATTGTTTTGGAGCCCCTTTAATGGCTTAGCAGTACTTTAGCAATTGATACCTTGATATGAAAAATCCTTCTCCTGTGCTCATTATGTGCCAAAGACCTCAGCTCAATAGAACTGTGAGCTCAGTTCCAGCTTATAAATAAGGACATTGCATTTCTTTAAACGACTTCTTTAATCCAGGCTGCTCTTGTGCTGTGTGGATGGAACCAAATGCAGGCAAAATGGAGGTGGCCGGGAGGTCTGTGTGGCTGTGTTTAGAGACAAGCCCCCAAAACCAAATGTAGCCATGTGTCTCCCAGGACTCTTAATTCAACACAAGGAGCCCAGACCCAGGATAAAGGACTGTCACCCAAAGAACTCTTTTGGCTCTTTCAACCAAGCTCTGGTGGTTTTCTTCCAGTGGGGGATTGCCCACAGGACCACGCACGTGGTCTAACAAGCTGGGCTCTGCTTCCTTGTGTTGATGGGACATGGGCCTTGGCAGGGCCCCGCCACAGATGGGGCCACTTGACATGCGTATGTTTTGATTTTGTGGTGCCTGCATGGTAACTAGAGCTGCCTGTCAAGCAAATTAATAAAATGGATGTGACGCTGATTCTTCAGTGTTATTACCGGCAGGGAGAGCTCCTGCCCGGCTTTCTTCAGGACCCTGATGTGCCTCACTTCGCAAGCCAATGACATCCCCTCCAGCTCAGCTAATCCCATTGCCACGTTCCTACTTAGGAAGAGCCTGTGGGAAAGGCTGGGCCCCGCCCTGGTGTAACTGAAAACACATTTCCCTCCCGGGGTTATGTTACCATGTTATTTCTGTCCAGGGCCAACTCCCCATGTTTGGAAGTAACTCTCTGAATATGGCCTTTTGACACTAAGGTGCTCTTTATGTTGGAATTCGCTAAGGTGCATGACCTGGAAATAAGTCTTTCCTTCTTATATATTTTTTCCACCTAAAATAGGACCAGGCTTATTCATGTGCTTCCCATTCTGTATTGTTATCTATAGGGACCTATGCTCCAACCATACCATTATGCAACACCAGAATGATGCTCTCCTTGGCATGTTTTATATATTATCTCCCATTCCACGGACCACAAAACCCTCACTTGTTTATTTGGGGTGGGGCAGATGGAGAAGGAAAACTATAAATGGATTACAGTCTACAGAAATTGCTTCCTTCCCCAATGATCCCCTGTTGTATGGTGGAGAATTCATCAGCATTTCCATGGGGACAGGCAGTTGTATTAAGATGGTGGGAAAAGGGATGAAGCTTTGGCAGCGCTTGATCCTTTGGAAGCACTTAGCATTTCTGGAAGCCAAAGGTGACGTGTGAGCTCACCTCTCCCTTGCCCTGGGCAGGTGGTGTCTGTTTCTTGGTTCTGCTGAATTCATTGTGCTCTATCCCTGCTCAAAGAGGAAGAAAGAGAGACAAGACTGGAGCAGTGACTGTATATCACAGGCAGAAGCACAGAGCCTGTCCACTGGGCTTTCTGTTATGCATGAGACTAAAAAGCCAAGGCTGGAATTGAAGGTGACAAAGCTCAACAAAAGAGAGAGGGACTGCTGGCAAATAGGAATGACAAAAAAGGCCCAGCCTAGACGTACCAAGATGTACGGGGGAGCACTTATTTATCCTCCCATGGACGTCACTCTCAAATATCCTAACTCTAGGGTCCCAAGTCAATGCCCCTGAAAACCTAGCTTTCATTTGGATATATTATCTCTGTTGATCTAAACTTTTGGGGAACCTATTTGTATTTTGGAAGTAATGAGTTCCTTAAGTTTGCTATCTAGTGATAAAGATTTTTTTTTTTTTTTTCCTGGCTGTTTGTCCTTAATTTACTCCTTTTAAACTTCAGGGCATGCCCTATACAGTTTCTGGTATGCTGGAATTTAACAAGTCTATATTAACTTATATCCAGTATCTTTAGAAACGAGGATCAGGTTGGCAACCCTGGGGTCCTCCAGCTCAATAGCTGACGTTAATGACAGGTAAATCATTCTGTGCAATAGGGTCTTGTTATAACCCTTGGGTTCCTTTAAGGAGTGCAGGCAAATGTCCTGGTGCCTGGGAATTATCTACATCTACATTATCAGCCAGGTCTGGAACATCCAGTTCATTTACCGCTATCTGGTCTCCTGCCACTGGCCTGTCAGGTTCCAGCAAGAATTTCCCCGTTGTCTTCTGTGAAAACCAAGACAATGCACTTATTTAGCCTGTATTGCCTAATTCCAGGGAAAGTGGCCACACTCAACTCTCTACTTGGCTTCCCCACTTGGATGTAATTTAAGATCCACTGATTTTTTTTTTAATTTTGTTTTTGTGTCTTACTATGTTTTCTTAACTTTCTCTTAAGCATGTCGGGGTTTCAAGTTGGGTCTTGACCTGCCGTCTTTGTGAATTGTGCTGTTTTTCTTACTAGGACTACCTGTCCTTGGACATGATAGATGTGAGTGTGTGTGTGTGTGTGTGTGTGTGTGTGTTTAGAGGGCTATCAACTCTTAAAATTGTTTTCAGTCTACATTGAGACTTTCAATTTAGCACGTTTGAGTAGTTCTCGGAATTGCCAACAATTTTAACTCTGCTAATCTATCATTTTACACACACACACACACACACACACAACTTGTAACGTGGTATGCACTTTATAATTATTTCTGTGTTGAATAAATCAGTTCAGAAAATGGAGAGTATATGTGATATGTTTTTTGGCTTTTCCCCCTCCCTGTTCCACAAGATTTGGAGTTTGTGGGTGAAATGTTACTTGCCGTCGATCACAACACAGCCTCCTCTATTACACTTTCTATTTCTGAATGAGGAAGCACTGGGGAAGTTAGGCACATGTTGTTCAGATTGTGTCCTGCTGACGTGGACATGGCTGGACACACAAACCATTTGTTCATTATGGCTGTCACTGTATTGAGATCAACTTTCCACCGTGCATAGTCCTAGCTCTGATGATAGCTGAGGGAACCATTTAAATACCTCTAGTTTTGTTTATATTTATGTGTTTATGTGTGTTTGTACGTATGCACTTATAAAAACAATCTGGTTTAGGAGCTGGTAATACAAATCAAGAAACTTTAATATTACCTGAAATATACCGAGTCTAACTATGGGCTAAGCCCTGTACTAAGTGCTTTCTATGCATTATCTCATTTAATTCTCACAATGTCCCTACTCAGACTTGTCACTATTATCATCTTAAACACACTGCAGTTTAAGAGAAGTTCAACAAAATGCATGAGGACATGTAGCTTGGAATCTACAAACCCAGGTGTTCAAACCCAAGCAGACTAGTTCCAGATTTATCCTTGAGTATATTAAGAGGAAATATAATAAATGATAAGAGGAAATCTTAGCTAATGCCATCATCTTAGCATAAATCTTAGCTTTCTGTAGTTCATTCTATGGAAACCACTGAGTCAATAGAGATTCCCCGGTCACTCACCATATTCTAGGCAGTGTGCTAACCACACCGGCATCCTTATGGCTAGGAGGCACTAATATGCTTCAGGAAACTTCTGTTCTGACTGGAATGTGTGGGCACATGTTTGCAGGGTCCCTCCCATCCTGTGGGCATTGTTTACCTTTCTCTCTGGCCACCTCTGCAAGAGCAAGAGGTCACTGCACTGAGATAGGTGATGGGTTAGCCAAGGCTGGGCTGAGTCAGGGTAAGGAATGAACTAGGCTCCCAAGAAGGGATTGACGTTATACACTGCTGTATTCAGGGGGTGA